GCTCTGTCCGCCTCTCGCTGAAGTGCATCATGATCTGATTGGTCGGCGATCGTCCGCGACATCTTAGCATCATCAGCGAAAAACAAGAATCCGAGGCAGTCAAACGCGTAAGCTCGTTACTGAACACGAGAAACAGACGCGGCCCGAGAACTGGTTGCTGCGGAACTCTACATTCGACATGAATCGAATCGGACAGCGCACTTCCTACTCTGACCTGCAGTTGCTGATACTACAGGAAATTCCTGATCCACCCAAGAACATACTTCCCAAATTCATAGCTTTCGAATCTGTGAAGCAGAATGCGGTTGTCCAGTCGGTCGAAGGCTTTGGAGAGGTCGAGATAAATGATGTCTGTCCCTCTACCTTTATCTGACGCTTCCGTCCAACTACTGCATGCAATCAGTAGGCTGCTTCTTGATGAACAGTATTGGTGGAAACCGTGTTGGTTGGGTGCTTTGATGTTGTGGCATTCTAGATCAGGGTTGTCCAAATTTTTTGCAATGATGGTCACGTATTGCGAGGTACAAATATGTCAGACCATATTCAGTCTGACATTAAGATAATAACAAAAATTACACATGTACGAGAAAAGTTCAAACCTGAATGTATTATTTCATGATGAGGCCGCGGGCCACTTGATATGTTAACGCGGACCGCATTTGGCCCTCATGCTGGAGTTTGGACTTCCCTGTTCAAGATGGTCTAGTAAAGTCCTAGCGATGGTTGCCTCCATCACCTATGGGAGTACACGGAATAGGACCAATGGGCGATAGTTGGCAGGTTCCGAGCGATTACCGCTTTAGAAAATTGTAGTGATTACGCTATGTTTCCTCATGGTAGGCACAATTTGCTCATCCATACACGTTTGGAAGAAATTCGATAATGGTTCGGCCAGCCTTGTTGCTGTTAAGTTCAGTGCCCACTGGTGAATGTCATCTACACCGAGAGGATTGTAGATGCGCAGTAAGAGCAGTTTTTTCAACACAGATGTGGCGGTAAAAGCGATCTTAGTACGTGTTGAAATTTGGATGTGAATATGCAACAGTGGCGGAAGTCGCTATTGAAGGTCGGGGCATACTGCACCTTAGAGTCAGCTGCTTCTTTAGTCCTCTGTGCCACTCCGACTGTCGTGTTGAGTGGGAGGATACCATGCTTCACCTTCCGAATCTTGTTGATACGCTTAATTAGGTGTTTTTTGTTGTTGGCTACTTTACGTGCCAAATGTTGTTAGTGCGTCATTTTGTCCCACGGACAAGCCGGGTCATATAGTCGCTCCAGGTATCGGGACCAGGACGAGCTCTGTAATTGTGCCAAGCTGTATTCCTTAGGGACGTGCATTTGCGCGCTCTACTTCTGATGAAAGACGATGAATCGGTGGAACGAACCCTCCTCGTTGCTGTAGCAGTTGCGATTAGATTGCTTAAGCTTCCAATAAACCGCATCCAGGCGCTGTCGGGTGAGTTCTTTCAAGAATTCCCAATCGGTTGTTTCAACTAGATCTTTCGGGATGTTGTAGCGTGCGATAGCACGTGTTAGTACCGTATGTTCCTCCGGATATTCAGCGTAACCCACATAGTTATAAAGTATGGTGACAAGATCGCTTAACGCTAGAGTTGCTCATTTGCAAGTACGAGGTCAAGTACCGATGTTTTATTATCAACTATGTACCTGGTAGGTGAGCTGATGTGATAGTAGTGCGGAATACTTGCGATAAGGTCTTGCAGTTTGACCTTGTATGTTCCGTTGGGGTATGCGGAAGATGCAAGTCGTACAGGCTGAAATCACCGGAGAGAAGTACGTGGCTGTAAGTTGGGAGTAAGCATTTCCTCAGTGAATCCATATCTGGATTGGACGAAGGTGGACGCTATACGACTGCCACGAAGCAGTTGTCATTGTGTCTGAGAGGCAAATGACACCATAGCGAATCGGTGACCCGCGTCTCCGGATCATCCAGTGGTTCGCATTGTAAGTCGTTGAGTTAGTACAGGATAACACACCCTTCCATGATGGGGTAATCGTGTCGGAACAATGACATTCCCTGAATCGCAATCTCGGCATTCGTAACCTAGGAGTACAACCAAGTCTTGGTTATGCAGATGAGATCCTAAGCGTTTTTTGCCTGTCGCAACCGAAACTCGGCGATTTTTCTGAGGTCTTGGGCAAGAGAGTGTTTGGTTCTCAGCAGCGATCCGAAAGACTTGTGGCTAAGATAAGTGATTGTTCCGACCGTTGGATGGTCGGCCTTTAGCCGATTTTTGTATTGTTATCAGCGAATCGCTTGAAGTTGAGTTTAGTGTCATCGTGATTGGCCTCTCTGACAACTCAGTTTACACGATGCGTGGAGCGTGGTTGTAGGATTGCACAAGACCTGCTTCCGGTGTGAATTTCGTTTGCCTGCTGTCGTGGTGCTTTAAGTCGGACGATAGTTTCGCTAGCCGCTTTGAACCGGAGCTCGGTTGTTATCCTTTTCTGAAGTGAATGCCAGTGTTCCAATAGTGTAAGTACCATTTGCCTAGATTTTAGCACAACCTTAATTACTCCGGGGTCGGACCCCTTATAGCATGCTGATGTTGGCAGCCTCGAGAGCGGTAGCTATAATGCCATCCAAGAGCAGGGCCTCACGAAGATAACACCACTGCTCCTGGTCCTGTGCCTTTGCTTCGCATTCATCTTGCTCGTGAGACTGGGGGACGCCGTGGACAAAAACGGTTCTGGCTGCGGTGTCTATCCGTAACTCATTAAAGCTCCGCTTTTCGCGTCCCATGGAACGTCTGGAAAGACGCTTAACAAACCGAATTAGTTCTGGAGGAGAGCAGTCGAAAGCAAAGCTGCTTCTACCTCATCGACAGAATTTAGCACAACCCGAAGACGCCTGCCTTCGCCATAGTTCTTGGAATTCGGGTGGCGATTGATCCTCGTCAAGTTGGCGGGTTTAGTCAGAATACCGAGATGGTTGCTTATCGTTGCTTATGTTCCAGGTCATCTAACTATTTCCCCTTTAAATAATTCGATCCTGACTCCGGAAGTTTGGTATGCTTTGCATTTTAATGGTGTTATCAATAATTTTACCTCAAATAAAGCACGAAAGGTGTGTTTGTGAACTCTGTGCACGAGTTCTGCAATAGTACAAATGTCTGCACTTCCAACAACACTGTAAAATTAAATATTTATTTGTTGTTATACGAAACGAAATATTGTAGGGCTGTTCGTAATTTTAAGGGCTTACGGATTTACAACTGCTGGGGTGGCGAAATTCTTACGACCGGCCCAAGCATCAACAGTAGTTGCCATGCCACTGGGGCATGCATGTAGCGGGTTGCGAAGAGTATGCGCCTTTATCAACAGCCCGTTGCGGATATTCATCCCTGAGGGATCGGTTGAGCAGGTGTCACTGGTACACTGGCACACTGCATTGATGTCTCACTACCGTGTAACCGTGACCTGTTGTACGTGGGCTAGCTAGGAGCGGAGACTCGAGCCCCGAGCACAAAGGATGAAAATTAGCCGCCTGAATCAAAACATCATGTGTCCCCACTTGTTGAACGACTCTGGCTTTGTTATACTGGCATCAACTAACACCAGCCTTGTAAATAACTTGTGCTGACTTGTAATGAGACAGCGCCCATTCCGTGGTACGATATTTGGCAGGCAGAACGAATTTGCAGGTCATGCTAGTTCTCAGCTAGCTGAGTCACCGTACTTGGCGCAGTTGCCAGGCGTTGCACGAAAGGGTTATACGTAATTGGTGTGAGACGTGACGTGAACGAGCAGAGGACAGGAATGACCCCTGGGGTCCTAACTTTCCATAACAGAAACCATGTGCGACTTAGCACATGAAAGCTGTTAAGGAAAATATTTGGATTACTTGTGGGCGGAGCATTTCGCTATAACTGGTCGAAGTATCTTCGCAGTAGCTTCCAAGTCATGACGGTCTGTCGCCGTCAGCTGTGGTCTTGTGATATTAGCCGCCGACCTGTCACGGGAGCTGTTGATGTCGAGCAGCCATTAGTTCGGCACCTGACGAAGCCGACGTATGAGCAATACTGACGTTGCGATAAAACGAAACGACCGTTTAGTGCGTTGGTGGCTATCTGACATGGAAAGGGATGCGAAGAACCTTCAACTAATTACACTCAAGCTCCTCTACTCACTAGTAGCCAAAATATTCGCCTTAATAGCTTCCTAATGCTGTATTGTACATATCTGCTATTACGTCAATCCGTGGCGGTAGGAGTCAGCTCTGTTCTCTTCAATGTTCGCAGTTTGCATAGTAAACAAACGAAACACATAAACTTCACCCACACATGTGACACCACAGTGGGTCTGCTCACAGAACTATCTCTGTCGGAGGATGGCGGACACTGGTGCTGACACGTATGACCGTTGGTTCTCTGTCATGCATTTGCTTCCACCGTTGTTGGGTCTCGAATTTAACGACTGAATTGCCACGTTCCACCGTGTATGTGGGTGTAAATACCTTGTCGAACCAAGCGGACAGTTATTCAACTGATCGCAAGTAGTGCGGGAGTACCTATCAACTGCCACTGGTTTCTTGTTGGTTGGACGAATATCAAGTGAACTCGGTGTATTCAGATGTAACACATAATAAGACCGAGTTATGCGGGTCCAAGTTATGTAAAAACGCGCTGCTTACCATTCCCGAATGCAGACGTATTTCAAACTGGGTTAATGAATGTATGGTAAATTGTTTGCTTTAGAAAATAACATCCAACTGAGTCAAGAGTTGCTTTTTCACTGCTCACTGTTACGCATTAGTCTTGGTAACTGAACGTTCGATAGTGTACGCTCTATACGGCAAGCGATCCCAGCGTAGGAAAATACGTGTGCACCGACACAGTATAATGAACGAATGACAGGCAGAGTGGTGTGTGAGTGTACGTTTGCGTGCATGAAAATGTGGTGTTCTGCAGTCTGAGTGGATTAGTGCCTGAGCTTTGATTAAACATGTATCACTCACCATCCTCATTTTTGCGTTGCAGCCAAATGCGAGAGGAAATCAAGATGAAACAAGAGAAGCTGGACGCATTGCAACACAAGGGCAAACCTATTGGTCCCGAAAGCCCAGCCCCGAAAAAGCTGGCATCCAGATCGATGACCGTCAGATCAAAATCGCAGACCGTATCGGGTGCTGAACGCCGCCTTTTGCACCCCAACCCACTTCATGAGGCCCAACGTCCTTGGGGCGATCAAGAATTTGCATCTGATTTAGTCACGGAAACAGTCAACTTAGCCCAGGCTGGCGATGCGCGTGCCTCCTGGGAAGCCCAACCAATTGTGGCCGAGGAAGAAGAGTCCCGTTTGGAGGCACTAAGGCAACGTGAAAGACTGATGCATGCAGTCGGTTTGGTCGAGGCCATACACCGCCTGTTGGCTGGAAGCTCCGGAGTAATATCTACCATCGGTGCCTCAGTGCGCGCAAAAATGCCACGGAATATGGGCGAAATGCACCGTGAGAGTAGTCTGGGTCTGGATGTATTCATTTGTGTCATATGGCATGTAGTAATTGATCAGTTCAGCCATCTAAATTTGTTAATAGCGCTTTGTAATCATTCGGTGTAAAGCTTCTTTTTGGTTCAGGCGACTCATCAACTACACTACCACTTATGTCGCCGGCATGCAAATGGTAACGTAAAGCATCATAGCGTAAAAATGTAATAAGCAAATTAAGCCTCCAGACAGGCAGGACAGAACAGCTATACGAAACAGCGTTTATCGGACATAAGCTATAAACACGGATTCAAGAGTTATTAATTGCTCGGCGCGAGAATAAACACTGAGTACACAGTGTGGGTGAGCTGGGCACATAAATGTCATCCACGCACATGACAGGCATCAACATCACTTCTGCGTTTGATGGGAACTTTGCTCTAGGTGCCATAATCCCACATGGTTACACAGTAAATCGCTAAAAGATTTGCACATCAACTGAAGAGTTCCGCCTACTTAAGGCAAACTACGGCATGTTTCGACTAAATCCAACTGTGTTCCCTCAAGGGTACGATTGGCTGAGCTGAGCAGTTATAGCTGCTCAAGAACTAACTTCCAGTTAAGTTCTGGTCAGCGGCCACAGTAAACAGCAATCATATTTGTTTCGGTTTAAGTGGGTAACGATTCTCATAACTCTAACCCTTCGGAATCGCTAAGGATATCGGTAGTTTAGCTCCTTTTGGTCAAACTGTGAGTAAAGCGACCTTCACAAGACAAGTTAAGTAAAAGTTGAGGATCGTATCGTATAACCCGTGACCTACACTGAACCCCATAGACCCCCACCGGTAGAACAATATCTGAATTGATGAGAAGCTGGATGAGGAATGCACACGTGATCTCTCATCTTATCAAACAATATATTGTTAGTGGTGGTACCGATTTTTGTACTCAATGTGACTACGAACAGCCACTGGACGCCTGTGCATGCAGAGGGATATGCGTGCTTACGCTACACCAACACATTGCATATCCATTCTAAACTCAAAACAACAAGACTGGGAGGCATTTGAACGGTAAACGCTGTTTGTTCGGGGCAAGCTCACACCCTTTCGACACATTGAAGATAACCTACGTTCGGGCCTTGTGAGTGGGCTTTAGGCAGCCCAAGATCGAACCGATCTTTGGACCGCGGATTGTCAAGAAGACTATAAACTAGGTGGCATCATTTAGCGAGTAGACTCCGTGTCAGCCTTCACCGCTTAGGGCTCGGAGGAACAAAGCCTTGACCACTAAACGTGGTACCACTGGTCTGTTTTATTGACATGGTCCAACCCGTATAACTTGGAACATTAGTGGACAAGGTCTGCAGCTAGCTCCAGTGTCGCTTTCCTGGTCGTTTTCTGCCATGAATGCTAGTTTAATGTATGGGGTGGGAAGAGTGGAAACCACAGGGAAGCCGTGTCATGCATACGGTTTTACCTTCATAAGTCACCTAACTGTTTGTGACCTCACGATATTACCAAGTTGCAGGCACCTTGATGCTTACTGTTCTCATGACACATTTATGCTCCTCCATTATCCCGTCCCGTCCGTTCACACAACCATATCGTGAAAGTAGTAGGGACATTTGTTGTGTTTTTGTGAAGATTCATCTCAGCTAGACTCAGACAGACAGCCACCACGCATCCAAGAAAGCGCTAGACGGCCGGTTCTTCCTATCGGAACTCGTCAGTAGCGCGCACCCGGCGAATCATGCAGGATTCGATTCCACGACCTTACGAGCCAGCGACATATGCCACTGAGCAGTGGGTGACGGCAGCGGACCACCATGACTGATGTTAACTGCGAATTAACGCGGCTCATCCTCCGCTGTCATGTATAGCGTGCACGTGCCGAGAAGTGGGCTGCGCCCAGGGCTACGACTTCCCCCTATACTCCTCTCTAATAAGCACTAATCGCTTTAGCAGCTTACGTGCCACGTCGATTGGTTGCTGATTGCAAAGGAAGTCGCGGCCCTGCGAGGCAGCCTATCCTCTGCGCGTTCCGAACATGAACGACAGTGAGGTTGAGCCGTACTATTTCGCATTTAGATATCAGTCATGGCGGTCCGTTGCCGTCGTTCATCGCTCAGTGACATAAGCCGCTGGCTCGCAGGAGTAAGGTCGTGGATTGGAATCAAGCAGGATTCAGCGGATGCGCGATACTGATTAGTCCCAATAGAACGAAACGGCCGTCTAGCACATTCCTGAAAGTGTAGTGACTGTCTAGCTGCGACGAATCTACACAAAACTATATCGTTGTCCTTAGGATCGCATGGCAGTGATGTGTCAGCCAAAGTACGACTGTACAGTGGTCGGCGGTGGTGATACTGATGACGAGAACTGCAATCTCAGTTGGCGCTAACGGTTCAGTATACCGTCTTCCTCCAAGTACTGTTCTACTGAATAAACATGACATATCATAAGCTCCGGCGACGACAGTTGGGAAATTAATCAGTGCATATGCTCACATGAGGTGCATTACAGGCGTAGTGCGATTTTTCAGAAAAGTAGGTGAGAAGAATGATTGACCTGGCTGCCTCCTTTGTTCACGACATACACCGTTAAAACAGTCAATTGTGAGAGAGAATACGAAAGTACAATTAAGTGGAGTTATACTAGATGGTTATAATACAAGTTGAGGCGATAAAAAAGAGACCTATGGGCAAGGGAGGTTAAACGCGCCTCTCGTTACGACGTGCGGTACGCCGTGAACTGGATTCTACGGTAAATTAGGTCACCGACTCGCTGTGTTGCCGCCTATGACTAACATATGAAGCCACCTGCCACGTGGCTACCGTGTGTTGCGTCGCTGTTGACTGTTCACGCCCCCACAACCGCAAGGAGAACACGAAGATGAGCCAGGACCGAGTTGTATGCATAAGCACACTGCTTCTTTAGATAGGGTACAATAGTTTGTGAATCAAGCTACTAAAGCACGTTGGAGTCAATTAAGATTATAGGAAACAACGAATAATACGAGCGGATGATAAGTGGCAAAAGAAAGAACCAATCAAGCGGAAATAGACCTCTGAGATAGCATTACTTATGAGTAACTTAGGCCGCCAATCGGAGCAAAGGAATGATGCGTTTGAACAATTGTCAAGAAATAAAAAATGGAGAAACAAAAGCAGGCGACTAAGAATTGTAGAAGAAAATATATGTCCATTGAGCATCCCCTAACACTGTGCATTACCCTTCACTGGCTACTCCAAAGATGGACTTCGTCTGACAGGTTCCTTGACAAAGATCCTACTTCCAAGCTACACTCAGCTTCTTGTCTCTAGTGACTTCGATGTGCACGATCTGGGCATCAAGATGCCACTAGCGAAAAATTCAGGGTGGGACTGTAAGAATTTAGTTCGATTATTCCACATGTTGCCAGGTACAGATTTGATGACAAAACGTCCTTACTGAACGTTGCGTCTGCGAATGTTGAACTGATAGAGATCCAGCTAGAACTCAGTGCTTAAGTAATCAAGCTTTACAGTTATGTTTTACGCTGCGTCCCCTGACGAACACAGTGGAGTGACATAGGCTAAAATTACTCTGACGTATCTGGCTGGGATAAGCACAGATGACTTTTTGATAAACTTATCGCCCTACGATGACCGGATACAATTTGTTGAAAATGATTCAGTGTTATGGAAAGTGGCGCAAACTTCCAGTTGGCCAACTATACGTTTTTAATGTACTTGCATGGAAACCTCAAGGAATAAGTAAATTTGAAAAATGAAACAAGCAACCGATCAATTGATAAACAAGTGAAGAATACAAGCCTAGATATATACGTTGTAATATTCCTATAGCGATAAAAAGATTAAACGCAACTCTCTCCGATGGTGCGAACTAAATCTTACAGTGTAATGACCAGAGGGGCTGGAGGCGTGCTTGGCAGATGGTACGCTGTTTACTTGCAAGAGTGGGCCACAAGAAGTGGGCAGGTTTATGTTTCCGTGGCTCACCACAGGGTATACACATGTTCAAGAATTCCTGCACCTGGGTGGTGTTGGAGAATTTGTTTAAATCGTGAAACTAAAGGGTTGCGCCCTGCTCTAATTTTCACCGTTAACCTGCTCCATCCGTATATATGTTTGTCAAGGAACAAGCTGCAGCGAATGTTGGCACAAAATTTCGCTAGAACGACCGAATACGGCTGTGTCTGTAATGAATCGCGAGTGGATTTTCTTAGGTGGACAGAACGTTCCGTGTACAAATTCGAACTATTTAACCCTACTCTGGAACCACGGAGTGTCTATATGACCCCATGGTTTTTGCTTGTGCAATTCTCTACGACAAACCTATGGAACTGTTAAGCATATGTCTTTTCGCCTGTCATAGACCATAGTTCCATCATTCCATTACAAAGTGCTAAATCTAAAAGTTGAACTAAAACAGAGAGATCAGTTAAATAAGGACTTGAAAATGAGCGCACACGGTATACCAATTTTGCTCCATCCAAGTGGAAAATGGCGAACGTTGTCTGGTGGAATAATTGAACACGGAACAATGGTTTATTACGGGTAAAAAGCAGGCGATTGACAAGTCCCGTAGGATGGCTGGAATGAAAACTAAAAGAGTAACGTACACGTGAAATGACAGTTTAAGCGCCTACCGAAGTAACTGCACTGTTGCATAACGATAGTTTGAAATGGGAATTGTGTGTGTACATAAAGTAAGATTGGGATCAGTTATAGCTTACATAATGCGTGAGAAAGAAAAGAAGTAACAACGCTTTAATCGTGTGCCGCTTCCTTGGACCGATGTGGTATGTAAATCCAGTTGGACTACACAACGTAGTAGCAGCGTTTAAGAAATAAAGTGTAGGAAGTAAAAATTAACACGTTGACTGGTGCCGTTAGGTTGATGCTCGGACATAAAGGTTATATAGCGTAATGTAAATGCATGAGTGTATCATCGAAACATCTTTAGAATATCGTCATTATAGGGAAAGAAACGACGTAAATGGGGAGGACGTTCTAAA